GTCCTATAGGAATCCATTTTGGGTTTCCTCATGTTGGTTTCATCCTTCTAAGTGTTAGAAGTCGATACCGCACACGCGAAACTCCAAAAGAGGACGGAAATAGGTCGAACTAAAACGAGGCACCACTTCTAAGGTTCTAAGATAGTCGCAGGAAGACCCCTAAGGCTAGATCCTAATTCCTACGAGAAATACTAGACCTCACGAAAATTGAGGTCAACAGTTAGCCGGTTGGCTATTGTCCAAGTTTGGTTTTGGTTGTTTGTGGTTACCTAAAGTGGGTTAGGTTGGTTTGGCTTGGTTGGAATTTTGATTGGAATTATTTAGGATTATTAGGAATTTTATTTAAAAGCTTGTTGAGGAGTTGAGGCTTTATTTTGGAAAAGAGAAGAGTACAGAGGTTTGTTAGGAATGAAGGGAATAGAAATTTGACTTGGCCTAGGGGGCAAGAAAGCCGTGCAAAGCATCATAATTTTTATTCCAAATTTCATCCCCATTTACATACCCCTTGGACCTGTCCGTATAGTTTATAACCCTTAATTGTATGACAACATAAACATAAATCATTTAAAAAAATACCCAACTTAACATACGTTGGAACATGCGTTCCAACCATTAACTATGACTTGACATGAACAATGAGAACTATCGAAATGAACTATAACGGATATTGCATGATGATCTTTCATCACTGCCTTCTAAATTACTAGTTTTGCACCATTTTTTCAGGTTCTTAACTTGCATTTGAGTGGAAACAACCTCTTTGCAACCAGTATTATGGTTGTTTGCATGAACCTCTTAGTGGCCCCTCCTTGGAAAAGAAATTGGCAAGAAGCATTGGTATTAGCTACATACTTGTATCTTGGATGTCTCTCTGAGGGGCTTTAATTGCAATAGGTTTGTAATCGAGCTGAGTTAAGCCGAGTATAATGTGGATTGGACTTGGCTTGGTCAAATCATAAATTATTCATGTTCAGTTTAGTTCAAGCTTGAATTGAACTTTCACATAAATGTTCATACTTGGCTTGGTTAATTTTTTAATGATCATATTTGAGTTGTTCTTTGACTTGTTTGTATTAATTGAAAAAAATTAAAAAATTGAATGTGTTCTTAAATTTTCATATAAAGCAAGTAACAAACTAAAAATTAGCAAGTAAACAAACTAAATATTGGACTAAATGATTATTTTCTTATAAATTTATTAAAAAATGATTTTATGAATCTAAATAGATCAGCAATTAAGTAAATTTTAAATTAGTCTCTAATGAGTGATTTTAAAGTAAAAAAATAATATATAAATTTTAAATAAACTTTATTGCAATCATATAACATGAATAAGCAATAACAAATTGGTTCATTGAAATAAAAAAAAATGCATTAAATTTACATACATATTAATATTAAATTATAATATGGTCATATTTAATATATAACTAAATAAGTTCTAATGCATTGAATTTTATTTAAAAAAAAATATCATAAGTATAGAGCATTTTAAAAGTCACTTGTTGAACAACAAATGAGTTTATTCATGAACATTAATAAATGAGTTAGATTATGTTCGAATTTGATTCATTTAATCTTCGAGTTTAAACAAATTATCGTCATTGTTTATTTTTTTGGTTTGAGCAAACATGGTCGAGTATCAATTGAGTCAAGTTCAAGTTCATCAAATGTATTGGTTCATTTAGAACCATCACAAACCCAACATCAAATATGTCATTTTTAACTTGTCATCTCCATCATTTTTTCCCTTTTGTCAACTCCAGATGTCTTCCTACTTATTCTTAAAAGTCTAGAATGTTAAGAACACGAAAAGAATGCGACAAGAAGTCCTGAATAAGACTCTTAAACTTGCAAGTAAATGAATTTGTAGACCCACTATTGTTTGCAGTCAACCGGCATATAGTCAACACATTAAATTACTTCTTGCATCCTTCTTGTGTTCTTCCCAAATTGAAAAGCTAAGTGAGCTAGACTTTCTTTGATTTGATTCTCACAGCTTTTCGATTTAGTTGAGAAAAGTTGACGTGTTTCTTGCCACTTTGATGTGGGCGGTTCACTTTTTTCCATGGAACTTTAGGAGAATGTTTAAAATATTGGTCTAAAGAGTTTGAAGGTATTTGGAAGTGCTTAAGTGGGGGAATTATGGTCAATATGACAACTAGGTCAGCTCTGGATGGAACTGACCTAGTTTGGGAATTTTGCTCTAGATTTTAAAATACATAGGGATTTGCAAAGTCTTACTTTCAAATGATGGTAGTAACATATCAAAGTTGATTTTTGAAAAATTTTGGAATTTTTTTATTTTAGTTTCAGAATTTCAAAGTTATTGGACAGAAAGAAAAAAATGATCAGAAAATAACAAGAGTTTTGATTTTGGGTTTTGGGGCTAAACAAAAACACAATTAGAGTAAAATATTTATAGGAATTAATCTACAAAGGATGTAGATCAATTTTGGAATTTTTTAATGGAGTTAGATCAACCAAATCAGCCAAAATCCTAACTAGATAGGATTAGGGCTAATCTTGACCGACCCTTGTTGGTTTGATTAAAGTGATATTTAAATGAGAATAAAAAACTGCACAAATCTATCCAAACCTTCCTTACAAAGGAAGCAAAATAAATCACCAAGCTCGCCCAAGTTCGGTGAAAGGTAATTGTCACCAAACCACACCCTAGAAGAAGCCACCAAGCCACTCCCTAATTCGAGTTCTCCACTCAAGTTTCTTAAGTATTCACACCAAAAGTTCGTATTTTTCATTTCATCTTGCTTTAAACATCTAATTACATTCAAACGCTCGAAAAAAGGGGGAAAAATCCTTGGAACTACTTAGAAACTACCTAAACCACCTATGACTACCCACCCCCTTCACATCCGGCTGACCATAATCACTCCATAATCATGTGCTGGCCCTCACTTCACACTTACTTAGGTGCATTCAGGTTCACCTTAAGGCATTGCAAAGCAAACATAACAACTCAAATCACTAAAACATAAGATTCTACGCATAAATACAACATAATATAACTCAATAGACTTCACATAACACATACCCATAAAAGTGACACAATTCTTCAAGCACTCTTTTTGACTTGGCCTCTTGAAATTGAATCTCTTGGTTGTGTGGTAGCTCTCTTGGATTGAGCTCTAGTAGTAGGTAACCTTTTGTGCCTATGAGCCCCACCTTTGAGCCATTATGATGTGCCACATCACACTTTTTTTACTGTTTTGTTTGAAAAGCTGTTTATCATTCTGCGGATAAACCATACTTCTGGGGGCAAGTTGTCTTACTTTTTCCTTTTAAACAGTTCTCGCCTGCTTTGCAACTTGGCCTAGTGCAGAGCAGATGGGTAATCAATCAACTGAGCCCTATCTATTGGAGAGAAGTTAGATAATTAATCAAGTTTGTAAAGCTTATTATTCTATGCATATTTGTATTTCATGCTGAGTCTGTAATATCTTATAACTATTCCTGTGAACCCACCCAAAATGTGCTTTCAATCATATTAATTGCTATGTATTGATGATGAAGTGGGTTACTTGTGCTTGCTAAAACTAACTTTCTTGTGGGTTCTGACTTACTTTCCTGTGGGATGAGTAACTGTACTTCATTTCTACTTGTTAAATATTCATTCTTTGTTTGATTAATTTATTTATATCAGGGCAAAACAATGGCGTGATGGGGACTGGATGTGCCAAAAATGTAACAATCATAATTTTGCATCCCGCTCAACTTGCAACAGGTAATCATAAACGACAAATTCTTATGTGAATGCGCTCTGTTTCTTGCGAATCCAGATTCACTTTATTCCACCTTTACATGTGACGTGTATGATAATTGTTTACTTAAGCAGCTAACCAGTTTATAGTTCTTTTATTTACCAATGTTGCTTATGTTTGCCGACATTCTTCAATCAATTTCAATTAGGGAAATCTATATACATGGCACACAATTCTTTTGTATTTACATATCTCACACCTAACCTTTCATATTTACACACATGGCACTTTTGAGTTTTAAACCAAATGCATGAAATTGTGTACTTCACTTTTAAAAAGTTATAATAGTGCTATTCTTGATGTGATATTAAAGATTTGAGTGCTATCTGTGTAAATATGAAAGCTTAAGTGTGAGATATGTAAATACCTCAGAATTCTGCGCTATGTAAATGCTTCTTACAATTGTTGTGAAGTGTGCAATCCATGCATCATTGCTGAAATTGATAGAAGTTGACAATCTGACTTGAGTTGGCCTGAGGAATTGTCCACAATGAAAACGGTCATACAATTTTCCACCCTCGTTGAACTTGATAAAAGTCGAATCTGGCTTTAGTTGGCTTGTGAAATTGTCCACAGTGAAAACGTTCAAACAATTCTTCTACAACTACAAAAGTTTGCTGTTTCCCTCTTCTGGGGATCTTTAGCAATTCAGGAGTAACAACAGGGCTGCTCATACTTATGCCACTATGGCCATAGATAGAAATTTTGTTTTGACTCATGTAAATGACCTTGATCCTCTCTTTTTTGTATTACAACAGGATAAGGCTCCTTTTGTTAGTGTCCCTAGGACCCAATTTTACTTTTGTACTTTGTATTTTTATTATACTATTAATGCAATATGCAATATTCAAGGAAAGCGAACTTGCTGAGATTGCCAATTAAAAAAAAAGGAAGGGCAAATATCATTTGGGTTCCTTATGTTTAAGCCAGGCTTCATGTTGACCAATGATTTTAAAATTTTTAGCTTTGATCCTTAGTGGATTTTAAAATTTCATAATCGTTCTCCACCTGATTTAGACCTTCAAAGAGATCCATTTTTTGTTGACAATGTTAAATAATCTTTTAGTTTAGCCGATGTGGCATTTTTTTTATTTAAATTAGAATGAGATTAGTTTTTTATGACTAAAATAACATTCTTTTTTGGGATTTTTCTTTTATTTAGGTCCAAGTTATATTTTAATAAGGTCAGTATGCTTACTCTGTTGACATTGGAGAAGAAGAATAAGTTGAGTGTGAGAGGTAGAGGTGGATGTGGAACAAGGGAGGTCTTATGATTTTTATGAATGATTCTCATAGTGGTAGATTATTTTTTAATGAAATCAAGCTCACTTTGCTCGTGACGTTTAAATTGAGGAAGAACAATAGGATATATGGTGATGACAGCGAAGGTCCTTCGCACAACATTTATTAAACAACAGTTAAGTATAGGAAGTCACTGATGGTGTTAAAATCATCGAAGATTATCAACATCATAAGCAGAGAGGAGTTGAAATTAAGCTCATTTGACTGATGACAGTTAAATAGAGGAAGAACAATAGGATATGTATGTGTGACATGGGATGTTACTGCACTAAATTATCGTGGTTAATAGGATATGTATGTGTGACTGTCGGTCAACTTTTTCGATTGATTAGATTTTACTGTAGTTGCTACAGTAGGCGAGCCAAAACCATCCCATTTTCTTTTCTTTTGTTTTCTTTCCCATTATCCTTCATTCCTTTTTAGTCATTTCTTATATATATGTGTTGTATTAGGATTTGGAAGGTAGTTTTTGGCGTGAGTTTGTTTAGGACAGCTATCGGCATCAGTTACTACCTTCGAGGACTGTATCCTCGGGATCAAGTGATGCTCAGGTTGTATCTCCTTATCGAGATGGTGACGATTTTCCTTATCATATTCTACATTCTCCCTATATCTCTCACAGCCGCTCCATACTTGCTGCAACTGCCCGGACCAGTTGTCCTAACTATTTCTTCCTGTAGTCTTCTATCTTCCAACCACCACCAGTCTTTTTCTGCTTGCTTTCGCCATCCAGGACAACAAGGAGTTGTTGTCTCTGCTTTCTTAAGCCTTCCCCGCCACCCTGCGTCCCCTTCCAACGTGCTACTGCCTCCATGAATTGCGCCCTAAACCTTCCCTCTTTGCAACAACCTTCCAAAATTCGTCTCCTTCACTGTTGCAAGCCATTCCAGCTGTCCCTACATCGCTCCCAGCCGCTTCGTCCCTGCCGCAGCCAGCCGGAACAGCTATCCTGATTGCTTCTTCCTGCATTTTACTATCTTCCAATCGCTGCCAGCCGATTTTCTACTTGCTGCCGCCATCCAGGACAGCAAGAAGTTGTTGTCTCTGCCTTTTCCTGCCATCCCTGCCATCCCTGGCACGTTGCCGCTTGCAGAACCTGTGCCCTAACACTTCCCACGTATTGCCACCTTCCAGAATTTGCCTCCCTAGCTGCTGCTTTCATTCCAGCTGCCTCTATCACTCTCTGTCACTACCTACCTGATGTCCCGCCCTCCACCTTGCCATTTGCAGTCACCCCAGCTTTCCAACCATCTTTACCGCCCTCCACCTTTGCCTAGCTGTTGTCCCAACGGTTCTCAGTGCTGTCCTTGATGTTCCAGCCGCCCAAATTCATTCCCCATGCCACCTTGTTTTTTCTCCAGCCCTCGACAGGTTTTATCGCAACTCGTCCGCCTTCTAGAAACCTTACCTGTTGAATCCTCCACCTTCTAACACCCCAAATTACCCATTCTAGCTCACCTTGCCGGCCTTCACCACTATTGGAATACACTTTAGTTGTGTTTGTTAGATTGTTTCTGTTGTTGCATTTCCCTTTCAATGTGTTTGTTGTAATTGCTGAATTGGCTTACAATAATATTATTTGGTTTTCCTATTATTGTTTGGGTTAACTCCGGCATCAATGTGGATGTGACAGTGAAGGTTCTTTAAATAACGCCATATAATTTAGATGCAGCAGTTGAGTAAAGATAATCACTGAAGATGTTAAAATCATTGGATTTTGTTGGAGAGAATCAACATTATGAGCCAGAGAGTAGTTGAAATCATTGAAGGTCCTTAGAGATGGCCAGCATTAGGAGCTATAGAGGAGAGTGGTTGATTTTTACATCAGAAGGAAAGAGAGGGGAAACTGATGGAAAAGTAGAGGTTATTTGCATTTTTTTATGTTCAATTGATGGTTTGGCTAATAGAAGGACATACGTGAAGTGAATCAGTCACCAGAGGTGAAAATGGAGTGTTTTTAAAATTGAGAGACCCATATGTTAGTTACTTAGAAGAAATGCCGATTGATGATCAATAGTTACTCGCTGATGGTTGAAGTAGTTAAACACTTCATGCTCATTGTAAAGATACTCGAGCCAAAATACCGCTTCAAGGAATTGCACCATTCTTACTTGTATAATTTCTTTAATTAAACCTCTTGAAGAAGAATCACAACATTTCTTCGTTAACTAAATGCTATTATGTGCAATACATACTTCTGATTTATTTCAACTATAAGAGCTTTGGGTTATGAAAATTATCCAAAATTAAGAGATTAGTATAAGCACACTTAGTAATGGATTTGGGATTTAGAGATCAAGGCATTTTAATGGAGCTCTGTTACCTAATGATATTTCCAAACCAAGGAAGTGAACGTGATGCAGTACACGAGGCACAAGAAAGTAACCTCCTGCAATATATGGGAGAGTTTATAATATTATTTTTCTAATAATTTTGTGATTGTATGTTATTTTATAAATTGAAAAAATCATAATATTTTTTTTCACCATATGATGCTATTGTAATTATGCTAATGCATATTTTAATTTCAAAGGATAATGTTATGAAAATTTTGAATTATTTATGATCACAAATAAAAAAATTTTAGTATTTGAAATTTACTTAATTAAAAATTGTTTCACATATTTGTTAAATATTAGAGATTAGAATATTTGATTTTCCTTCAATAAATATAATATTTGAAATTAGTTCAGTAATTGAAGCTATATTTTTTAGGTTCCAATTAAACTATTAAAATCTGAATTCAAAGCGAAAGGTTTTTCTATTTTATTTTTTATATCAAGTGATAAAATAATGGATTTATTAAAGAATTACATATATATGTGTGTGTGTTTTATATTATATTGGATATGTTTGACATATTATATTGATGTGAGTGATCTTGATAAAACCAAATTTAGCTTGATTTGAAATAGAAAATTTTTATTTGTGCTCGAGTTAAAAATGCCCTAAAATTAAAACCAATTCATGTTGAGCGATTTTTACTCTATTACAATCTTAGCTCCACTCCAAAATCATTTGTATTTGAATATTTCTATAATTATTCAAGTATTTTAACATTTTTTTTATTTATATTCATTTTTATCACATTTTAAATCAACTCGATTTATATTAGTAGATCAATCAAGTGCTACCTTTGATTTTAAGATTTAGATAGTAGTTTCAATTCAACATGAATTGATTTTGAGAGGTTTTTGAGCTTGTGTCAATTAGTTGTAACTGCCTTGGATACAGAATTCTTATTTTTTTCATTATTTTTTCTTTTAAATAGTTAAACTATTTAAGTGCATTCTCTAAGGAATGATGCTTTGTCCTTGCTTGTACAATTAAATATTACAAACATAAAAAAATGAGTTGACATTTTTGAGGGAGCTCCATATGAATGTTAAAGGTATTTTCTTGGACAATTAAGTATTAAAAACATTAAAAAAAATGAGAACATGGTATCTCAGACTGTTAAATAATCTATACTAGCTTATTTTTTTATTCAAGATTTTTTCTAGTCAATTCGAGCTCCTCTCTCGAACTCATAATTGATTTAAAATTATCCCGACTAGATTAAGGATAGTTATAGTAGATTTGAAATGAGTAATATGTATATATGTATGTGTGTGTGTGTGTGTGTATCAAAATTAAAAGAGGTATGGATTGGATCTTAGTCTTTAGGATATTGGAAAAAAAATAAATTTGAAAATATTATTCTATACATCTTTTGGTATCATATTTTTTGACATAAATTTTTGGAATGTTTTAAGACACATCTTGTGTTGAGGCTTCTGAAATTTTGGTTGCAGATCCTTCCATCGATTGCTCAAATTGATCCACTTCTTTGGTGGAAGACCTCTTTGTTAATCAGATCCATTTTCAAACTCTAAGCTAAGATGAATGATTGATATTGTTGGTTCTTCTATTCTCTGTGATAATAACTTCACCTACTATTGATATTGTGGCTGAGAATGCTCTGCAGGTTCTTGAAATGCCACAATTTCATCCAATTTATAAATAGAATGATGATCATTTACTATAATAGAACTCTGATTTTGATTAGATAATTATTATTTTATATACCAAAAGGGTAGGAGTTAGAAAAAGATTTATTGCCTCTCTCCAATGTTTACTACGCTACAAGCTAGCAATCCAAAATTTTTTTTTATTATATTATGTTTTTCTTTTTTTTTACTCTGGCATTGATTGTTAAATACTTTTGTTTTACTCATATTTCTATCTAGTTGATAAAAGAAGCTTGGTATAAACAAAAAAAAATCTGACTTTCAAAATTAACTAGGGTTTGATGGGCCTTAATTAGTTTTACTACGAAAATTGTAAATAGTCTAGCAGGTCGAAGCCTTATTTAAAGCTTTTAAGTTTGGTTAGGGTTTAAGTAGAGTGCAACTAATTAGGTTAAGGAGGCAACGTCTCTAATGTTTCAGGACTCAGGACTTCAGTTTGTCAAGATTAATATCAATCTATTTCAGAAGGTCAACTTCTCCTTCCATTTTTTATGTTCATAGCTATCAAATACTGTCAACATTTTATTGTCATTTTATTCGAGGCTTCAGCTTCATTATTTTCCCTTTGGTGGACATTTTGAAGCATGAAATTTAAATGGCCTCCTATTGCTGCTAAGGCATTTAACCTTATTACGGAAGCTAAATTGACAAATTCTCTCATGCTTAAAGGCACTTTTGGCATTACTTTTATTTTTTTTTTTCTTTTGTTTTTGGAAACATGTTTGATTAGTATAATTTTAACATATTTTTATTTTTTATTTTTAAAAATAAATTAACTTATTTTTAAAAGACTTAAAATGTCTAAAAAGTATTGTGAATGCTTCTAAAAATAGCTTCCACAACCGAACATATTTTAATTCAAATTAAAACACAAATAAAATAAAATAAAAACAAAAAAATAAAAACAAACAATAAAAGTGATCCAAACGCCCCCTAAGCTTCTTGAATTTGTAGAAATCTTTGTAAAATCTTACGATGCTTTGGGGGTATGTATTGACCATATATTAATCCTAAAATTTATCATGTTATATACTTTAACGAGAAGCTCAATGAAGATGGCAAAAGTAATCTATGACAATACGTTTTATTTTGTAGTATAAGTTTTATGCTATTAGCAACTTTATTTTTTTCACCTAGAGTTTGTTATGTATTTTGAAGGCTACACTTAGCGTATTGGCAATTTCAAAAAATGTTGAATGCCTGCTGTGCAAAATTTGCATTTTGACAAAAAGTATTCCTTTGTTCTTAATCATAGTGCTAGAGCTGATGATAAAGTTGTTGATTTTAAGTAGTTTTCTTGTGTAATGCTATGATTGTGAAAGTGCAATTTCCTAGAAAAATAGAAGATGAGCAACTAATATGGCTTGATTTTTCATCTGATCTATGTTCTTTCGAAAGATAATCACATCTTCACGTTTGATATTATGTAATGAATTTCTCTCAGAAGCGTCAAAAGTATGCAACCCTTATACTTCTTTGTGAGATTTTTTGTTTGGGAGCTACATGCATATCGACTAGCTTGCCATATAGATTTTTCACTAAACCTTCAGTTTGGTAGAGGAAGAATTCTATTGGCCTCTACTTAGGAAGAATGCCACCATAATAGTAAAGGCTTATAAATCACTTTTATTTTTTTGAGGGGGTACAAATTAAATGTTTGCTATAAAAGCATCAAATAGTCGGTTCATCTTATTAATATAGGTATCTGTTATGTAAAATAGACATTTAAAATGGGCAATTACATATATAGCACTCAAAACTGTACTATTTACAATACTCATTCCCTTTTTCATCTGCTTCTCAAATTCTCACTCAAATATCAAAATTCACTATAAAATCCCAATCCATATTTTTTAATTTCTATCAAATTTCCAGTAGTTTGACCGTGGCACACGTAAATGCACCGTTTCAGTAGTTCAAAGCTATGACCTGAGTACTAGTTTTGTAAGTAGCTAAGTTTTGCATGCTATGCATGTAATTATCCCATTATTATGAGGGGTAAATTGTCTCTCTCGCAGCTTTCTAAATTCGCCTTTGCCTGTATGGTCGCCCCACTTCCATTGTTTCTCACAAGGATGAACGGTTTGTCAATTGCCAGGGAGATGGACAAATAGAAGTTATGAATAAGAGTTTGAAAAATTTACTGTCTTATTAGTAACGACTCCAGAAATTTGGATTTATTATAACCATTGAGTATCTCTATGAGTGGAGGTTTTCGCATCTCCGCCAACATAATCAATTCTAGTTTTTTCTTTCCACTATCTTGCTAATCCTAGTAATTTTATGATGAAGTTATAATGGGCCCTTCGGGCTAAGAACATTAGTTTATCTGTTGGAGGGTTTATTCACCATCAGTTAACTTGAAGGTGACTCATGATGAGCTTCAAGACATCCCCCTTGAGCTTCAGGGTTAGGATTTATTTTATTAGGGTTTATGCTTATCTTTATATTTTTTGAGGACTTATTTTCTTTCAAATCTCCATTGGTTGGTCTCTATTTTTTAGCACTTCAATTTTTAAAGACAGGAGTTGGGATGTGGCGGGATTCCTAAAGTGAAGGGGAGAGGAACTAATGAGTGAAATTATTTTTCTTTCCTCTTGAATTTTCATAAAAAAAAAAAATCGCAAAAGAAGTCTATTTATAAACATAAATGGATATTTGAAATTTCTGCTTGAATGTATCTGAAAAAATAATTTCATGTGCGACTTATCAACATTGTCCAATTTTATGCATGATAGTAATTTTTTCTACAAATTCATGCTATCTTTTCAATTCTCCTCTCCCATCCTTTTTTTTTTGGTTAACCACCTTAATGAAATAATAATTAAATGTTAATTTTTTTTATTTTTAATAGGTTTGATCTTTTCCATTATTAACCGGGTTGATCTGTCACACTTTATCTTATTAATACAATTGGGCATTTACATACGAGAAAAATTTACGTACGTAAGACGTACACAGAGCTGTGTACGTTAGGGAGGTTATTTAGAGGGTATTAGGGGGTTATATCCTCGTTATACCCCCTGTAACCTTCCTGTAACCTCCCTGTAACCTACAAATATATGAAAACAGAAGCACGAAACTTACTAGAAGGTACAAGTAAGTTATAGGGAGGTTACATGGGATATAAATACTCTCTGAATAACACACTGCGTACGTCTTACGTACGCAAATTTTTCTCTTTACATACATACATACCACCCAATTTTAAATGCATTTACATATCTAACACCTAAAATTACGTTTTTTTTTATTTATACCACCCAAATTTTTATATCACATAAAAGTAGTACTATTTTGACTTTTGTAAAATAAAATACACCTCATGCATAGGTATAATTGCATATATGTAAATAATGAAGTTTAAGTGTTAGATATGTAAAATACATAGGAATTGAGTGGTATTTTTGTAAGCCTTCCTAGTAAAAATTCTATCAATTTTATCTATGTTAGGTAAAATGATAAGAGAAGGGATGAAGGCATTATTTAGCTTTTATTTGTGGTGTTATGTAGCCTGATGTGCTCTCATAGAACTGCACGCAATTTATGTAGCCTGATGTACATGTGGAAATAAATATTACTTTACCTGATGCTACTGAAGTCTGATTGGGCACAACTCATAATGTATATTGACAACAAATCGTCATGGAGCATAGACCCCCTTATTGTTCTCATTGTAAGATGTTTGGGCATACCCTTGATAAATCGTCCTAATGTAAAATCTAAAGATCAAATGAATAAGGATGAATCTAAGGATATGTCCTAATGTAAAATATAAAGATCAAGTGAATAAGGATGAATCTAAGGATATCATATTTAAACTATCACTTTTTAAATTAATTTTTAAAAAGTGATGTGCGCTTTTTCATGCATAGGTAAAGTGACACATGTAAAAAATTAAAATTTAGGTGTTCGGTATTGTAATCACATAGGAATTGACTACTATGTAAGTGAATACCGCTTCAATTTTTGTTTTTGTTAATTTCTTTTCTAGTTTTCATTCAATCCAAATGCACTTTTCTGATTAGTTATTCTTCTTGCAGATGTAAAACAGTGAAGGAATCCGGTTCCCAGCCTGTCAGCGTTGCCTAGCTTTTTTGATCAGCTTGGAGATCTCTGATTACTTTTATTGTGCCTCAAAATATTTCTATGTTATGTTCTATGTGACTAAAATCTATAAATTCTGCTATTTTCCGAGCAAAAAATTCCCCCAAATTTGAAATTAATTCCCTGTTAAGCAAGTATAATGATTTTTGTGAGGATGGAAAGATAGAGGATAGGTTTCTTAGTTCTGCTTTTATGTGAACATCAAATATGTTTGTGAAGCCTATCTTTCTATTTTGTATTCTGAGATGTAGTTCATTTCGAAAATTATGTGTTGCTTTTAAAAAAAAAAAAATTCATTATTTAAAAAATAATTTGTGTTGCATTAAAAATTATTTATTTATTTCCTAAACTTGAATTTCATGTATTATGCAGCAGATTTTGCATTTTTTTTAATTCTTCCAAAATGGTTCTGCTATTAGGAATAATTTTATCTTCAATTTTTAGCTTCTGATCTAATTTATAAACAAATTGGCTACTCTGCGGTTTATTCAAGCCCCTATTATTTTTTGTGGGCATTTACATACATTCCACACAATTGCTATATATTTACCTATTAATTTGTTTATTTTCATTGCATTATTCATAATGATACAAATGAATATTGATATTATTTGAGTCAAACAACCATTAAGAATACTGTTGTTAGTCTAAATGTAAGAAATTTCTTGTTTGGCTTGAATAAGGTTCAAATTGTATTTAAGCTTAGTTCTAATTTGTTTGGTCGATGATCATGTGAGATTGGAATAACATTAAACCTTGCTGTATTGCGGAGGATTTGTAATAGTTGAGTGATAATTTAACGTCTTAGTGTCATACAAAAATTTACATACATAGATGATTGAAAAGTAATAGATGACATCGTGATTTTTGATGTGGAAAAATTTAAAAAGAAAAAAAAATTATGGGGTCTAACAAAGAACATGTTCTACTATAAATGTGTAATTATAACAAGAAGTCATTTTCATATAATATGGAATGAAGGGTTATAATGATAAACAAGTACAATACTTGTTTGTGCACAATGTATTTAACTCTTCAAGAATCGGGAGAAAACTGTCGTAATATGAGTATGGCAGTAGAAAGTATTTGTCGTTGAAAGTTATAGTCAAGTCTTGCATTATTCGCTAGGATAGTTCATAACTTCATTTTCAGGATACTTTGATGCACTGTATTCAACATCGTTACACAATAGAGTTTGCCGACAGCGGCGAGTAGGGGGCGGCCGGATAGGCGGAGATCGATTATGGTCGACGGATATGAGGAGATGAAGTTATTATCGGGCCTTCAATCTAGAACAACACTAGAATTTCAGTCCTTTCGATTCACCCCCAAGTGAAGACATGTGGTCTATTGATATGGGAAAAATTTACGTACGTAACAAGTACGCAGGGCTACGTACATTTTAGGGTTATAGGGAGGTTATATAGTGTTAACATGGGTACAACACAGTTGTAACCTCCATATAACCTCCCTGTAACCTCCCTAAAACCGAAATATACGCAGCCCTGCGTACTTATTACGTACTCAAATTTTTATTGATACACTCTAAGGGAGGTATATTTTAGTCTTTTGGCAATTAACTTCACCAACCACCTTATCAAACGACTCATATTGAATCATCTTAATTATTGGGGGTTT